CTTGTGCACTATGTTGGCGCTCTGCCACTTGAAGTGCGCCTCCATGAGCGGGAAGCAGAACAGGCCGTTCGCTTTCTCTTGCTGGATTCCGAAGGAGTTGACGAGAGCTTTCACCACGTCCGGGCTCTGTTTCTCGAAATTGTGCACCTGCATCCAGATTCCGGCAGGCAGACAGCGCGGGCGGATGATCTCTCCCGGGGCGCAGGCGTCGTACCTGTCCTGGTCGCTGCTTTCGAACACGAAGCTCACGATGGTGGCCTTCTGTTCCTGGATCAAGCTCTTGCGCTTGGACACCTTGACGGTAAATCTCACCTCCATGCCCACGTGCGCGGGAAGAACTCCGTGCATGTGTCCCGTGTCGCCAGGGTTCGGCACGTTCAGAAGCCTTTTGCAAGCATTCTCAGTTTCCTGTGGTGTACTGCAGGCGACGCCCTCGCCCTTCGACTGCAGGAAAACCAACGGCACGCCCATGGCGCGAGAGTCGATCATGCTCCGGCGAGATATCCATCGGCTCAGCGTGCTCCAGTACCAGGCCATTCCGAAACCAGTCGCAAACTTCTCCTCGTCGTGCCTCGGGCCCCTCACTCCGGTCGTGCAGTCGGTGGCGACCCGAGCCTGGAAGGCGGCCCATACACGGTCTGGAATCCGGCGCGCGAAGCGCATGCAGGCCAGGAGCTCGATCAGCGGGTCGCCAGGCTTGAAGCGCCCGGTGCCCTTCAGCTCGATCACGTGGGGCACTTTGCCGAACACTCTGATGGCGTGCTGCACTTCCACGCTCGGAGGCGGATCCAGCTTGTAGTTACCGTCCTCGTCTTTCTCCTGGACGTCCCTGATGAGCCCGATGGCTTTCGTCGGGGTGAGCTGGAGGAAATCGCCCAGGTGAATGACGATGGGGGCCCGCCCGAAGTGGTGGTGGTCCTTCCTGCAGTTGGACTCGTCCACGGCGAACTCCTGGCGCCTGCCGAACATGCTCCTGAAGTCCAGCATGTTGTAGAGGGCCGCAGATATCATGCTGATCTCCTCCATGACAAGCGCGCACTCGGCGCCGGCGCTGCTCCAGTTTCTGGAGCTTCTCGGCGCTGGGCCGAATCTTCTCGTTCGTCAGCTCCTGCACTGCCATGCCCCCAGCTCCGTGGATCGTCATGGCCCCCACGCCCGCTGTCGAGCTGTTCTTGGCCTGAGCGTTGGAGAAGGCCGCCGCAACGAGGCTCGGACTGACCTTGCTCTCTTGCGGCCAGATGTGGTTCACCGCCTTGAACACGAGCTCCTGCACCACGTGCGTCTTGCCAGATCCACCCTGGCCCAGCAGGAAGACGTGGTGGACCTCGCGCTGGTGGCAGTGGGTGCCGTTCTCCTCGTCGCGCCAGACCTGGTCGCAGGCATCAGCAAAGCGCATGGCGAAGATGATCTGGCCTCGAGTGAGCCGCTTGTTCTCTGGCAAGCCAGCCACGAGGTCCATGATGTAGGCGCCCGGGGTGGCGTGCACGCCGGCTTCGTCGAATGACGCCGGCTCGGGGTCCTTCCCGTCTCCCGCCCCGGGCGCCTCCTCCTCCTCGTCGGAATCATCGCCGCCTGCCGCCTTGTCTGGGAATGCGAGATCCTGCAACTTAAGCATCTGGATCTGCTTGTCCACGTGGTCCGTTCCGCTCCAGACGTCAGGCATGCTGTCGTGCAAACCCTGGCATTGCAGTCGCCACGCTTCCCCGCGGCCTTGGTCGAACAGGCGATCAGCGCGCGAGTGGTCGGGGAGGGCGTCCTTCCAGCCCATGCGCGGGAGGGCAAGCAGCTCCTTCTCGAACAATTTGGGCCGAGCCCTATGGCCGTAGGTCAGCGTCTTCCTGAGGTTCTCGGCACTCGTCATCCCCAGCAGGGGCGCCTCCTCGAAAGTGCCGATCTTCAGCTGCGGCGCTGCCGGAGGGTCGCCCGCCGCGTCGCCTGCCCCTTCGTCGCCAGCCCCGCCTCCGCCAGCGGTCATGCGGAGGCGCGCCTCGTGAACGGCTGCGTCTGACTGGTACTGGCGCGGGCGGTGCTCCATGCGCGCTCTCGCAAGGCCCCCCAGGTTCTGCGCCACCTGCAGCCCGACGATGGCGGCGCACTGCTTCACCGTGGCGCGCGGCTTGCTCTCGCCAGGGCCTCGGAAGTGCGAGGGGCGCGAGGGGCGGAACGCGCCGAAAGGCAACGCGGAATCGACAGAAACGCGGTGAGGGGGGGGCGCGCTCCTGGAGCACGCGATGGGCCCGACGCGCGGGCCTGGCGTGCTTACCGAATCCCCCGAGGAGAAAGGGGAAGAGGTCACCGAGGGCCGTTTCCCGTAAAACGTCACACCCGAAAGACTGCCCCGACATCTGCAGGCCAACGATGCAAGCGACGGGTCGGGCAACGATCTCGACAAGTCACCGACGCAGTCGACGATCTCGAGCGGAGCGCCGATCGGGGCTATCGATCGACGCAACTGAACGCGCGGCAATGATCTGGATCGACTTCCCCGACGTGGCCGCGATCCAGCCAGGCGCCGCGTTGCGCTGCGATCACCTCTTCCGTCTCCCACAGAGAGGGGTACTCGAACCTGTCGAGGAACCGCTGCCGCCCCTCCGCTGCGTCCACCTCCATCTCTCACTGGTAAAGAAGCCAGTTGGCCGAGAACGCCGTGGCCGGGGTGAAGTGCTCCCGGGGGCCTCTGGCAATGGCGAACACATGTGTGCAAATGCTTCCAGTTCAGCACTGTCCTCAGTCACCGTGTCGCTGTTTGCTATAGCCGAGGGGCGCATAAGCAATTGCTTGTACATGGCGGCCGTCTCCGAATCCTGCAGATGCGAGGGCATCAGGGACCCATCGAACACTGGAACTCGCAACTCGGCGGTCAGCCGCTGCACTCGGGTCTTGGCGCGGGTGCAGTTCGAGTCGAACTCGAACTCGTTGCCCTTGGACTTCCTTTCCGCGCCTGGAGCGCCCGGCAAGCAGGGGGGGCGCATCGCGTTGTTTCTCTCTGTCTCTCTTTTTTCTTTCTAACTCCAACGCCAATGGTGTTCTCCTCCTGGCCCACCTCCTTCTCTCATTGCTCCCCCGCCCTGTCCTCCTCCCCCCCCTCCTTCCCCTCGCCCAGGAAACGGCCCTCGGTGACCTCCCCCCTCTTCTCTACGCCCCTCACCCCGTTCCCTCTCTCGCTCCCTCTCCATCCCCCAGGGCGCGCCCTTGGTGAGCGGCCCTCTCGGCCGAGTGGACCCACATGGCGTAGATGTGCAACGGCATGTCTTTCAGGACGGGGTGGTCTCCGTTACGCGCGTCGCAACCAATCGTCGACGGGGGTGGTAGTGCGCGTGCGCCTGGCCCCCTCGCTGTCCTCGTCCTCCTTCGTCTCCGCCTCTGCCTTGTTCAAGAACTTCTGCAGTGCAGTCGACGCTCCTTTGCGCTCTCCCTTGTAAGACCCCGACAAGCTCTGGCTCTTCACGGCCACGTCGTAGTCGTGGGCAGACTGGAGGTCCCAGAACTCGGCGCCGCCCGGGTGCCGGTAAAGCTCCGCGCCTCCGTCCAGACGCACGCGCCCCCATCCCACGAGCGGATAATAATGCTTGTCTTTGGTGAGATACCTCGAACCAACTCCGCCGCCGTCCTGGATATGTCTGCGTCGCACGGCCTGGCCGAACTTGTTGCGCCACGTCTGTGCGCCACGTCTGTTCCAGCAGCGATGCGAGAAGTACGTCATGGTGTCGAACATGATTGGATGCAGTATCTCGGCTACGCTCCTGTGATGGCTCCGCTAGAAGGCGGACGACATGGCGTTCAGTGTCTGCAGCACTTGCCCAAATGTGTTGGGGCCACGCGTGGGGGCCTCGGAAGCAGCGCCCCCCTCTGCAGTGACGCTCTGCGTCTGCCTGTTGGCCTCCCGCGTGTCCTCCCGCCTGACCTCCAGGCGCTCGATCCCCCTGCGCAGCTCCTCGAGGGCCCCCTGCATGTCCGGCAGCTGCTTCGTGGTGTACGCGTTGATGTAGAAGCCAATAGACTCTCGCTCCATGGCTTTCGCGAGCTCGCCGTCCTGGGCGTCCGTTGAGTGGTCCGACCGCATGCGCTCCAAGAGTATCCCCCTCCATACATCGGGAGGAAACGCCTCCGTAAACGCATGGGGCTCGGCGGGCAGACTGCCCTTTTCGAAGGGGGCGCCTCGAAGAGTACTCGTTTTGAGACCGCTCCCGGATTTCCATCCATCCGAAATCCGGCCGTTCGCCGAGGTGCGGAAGCTCCTCCTGTTCCTGGAGCCAGCGCTGTACAGGAGCGAGTCGCCGTAGATCCTGAGAGAGCGCAAGGAAAGCGACGGAGGTACCCTGCAACCGAGCAGAGCCCAATCCCACTCGACAGCCCCCCACCCTCATCCCCCAAATGATCGCCCAGGAGCCCTCCAGAGAAACAGAAGAAGGGGAGGTCACCGAGGGCCGTTTTCTCGAAAGGTCACAATCAGGAATCGCCTCAAGAACGCGCATCAGAACGTGGTCTGAGAAAACTCACCAGCAAAAATCATCCGGCGGCATTTACGAATTTACCAGCAGATCCTGCACGTCCAGATTGCACCGCATGCACAATCGAGACCAGCATAATTGGTGAGGCACTCGAACGGATGCTCCTGGAACATGAGCAATCTGCCTGTCATACCATGGTCAGATTCGCCGACGACGACGACTGCATTTCGGAGAGGCTTCCCTCGCCGTCGTCTCTGCCAGTCGGGTAAGCTGATGATGTAGTAGTAGCCATGCCGACATATCTGCTGCACCTTCGAGCCACTGTACTTGAAGCAGCTCTCCCCGCACACGTGCACCAGGATCTCTTCAGCCAGAGCCCTCGCGTCCTCCGTGAAAGCCTTCTCCCACGTGTCCGCGCTCTGCTCGTTTCCCCATGGGGCAAGGGGCGAGGGGTCACCGAGGGCCGTTTCCCCATGGGACAAGTGGCGAGGGGGTCACCGGGGGCCGTTTCTCAGAATTCGAACGGAGCTGCGTGGCACCATTTGAGATATGCAAGGACGCAAGTTGCCAGACTCGCCCTTTGACGGAAAGCCTCTGGGCATTGCGATTGGCGACGCCTTTCAATGGGAACTCTCCAGGCGCACGCCGAATCGCCCGCGTGGAAGAACCCTTGGAACTGGGCCAGAGAGGATCGAGATCAGAGCTCGTCTGAGGCCCGGGCGTACGAGCACATGTAGCGCCTCAGGCACTGGCCGAGCGGCATCAGGTCGGCCTCGCCGCTGCGAAGAATCTCCAGCCTGGCAGACGCAGACGCGCCGTGCTCTCGACGCGACCAAGCCCCATGAATGCGGTGCAAAGGGGGGGGGGGGAGCGGCGCGTTTCCAAATCGTATCGTACCGGGCGACTGGAGTCGCTCGCCTCGGTAACCGAGCACTAGCTCGGGGAGCTCAGCGGTAGCCCAAGGCCGCTTTTCAAAACGCTATGCGATGTGCCATGGGACTCGCAGCGCCTGAGCAGCTGTGCGGAACGACGGGCTCGTTTGGTTTGAAACGTCCCGAAGCCTCCAAGGCTTGCAGTGGATCAGAGCCTGCACCGCGGCGTTGAGGTAGCACTATTCCCGAAGTTGGGCATGCGCACGGACGTCAGGCAGAGGTTCGACAGATCGTCTGTAACGCCGGCAAAGAAATCGAATATTCTCTCCCTTGCAAACGAGAGCGAATCCGCGCGGGCGAGGCTCATGCGTCTGAAGTCCGTCCAAGCAGCGAGCACCTGTGCGATGCGCTTGGCCCTGGCCGGGTCGGGGCACGGGCCCTCCTGGTCAGCTGGGCAGAGGAACTTCACCGCCTCCAGCCGCTCTGCCAGGGCAGCCTGCCGCGAGAGGCGCGCTGGGCCTTCCACGTCGCGCAGAAAGTCGGTGCCGCGATGATCAGCAGCAGCTTGAAACGTCCAATGCCAGGGGGCGACGTCGCTCACCTCCCCGTAGAACCTGGCGCCAGCTACGCCGAGCATGTCAGGCTGCAATGCGGACAGACGAGGGGTAGGTACATCCACTCTGTAGGATCCAGCGTTCGTGGAGTGCCCGTAAGGAAAGCGCCTGCCACAAATCGGCATCGTCGCCCCTCCTCGACGGCATGTACTCCGGATCAGAGGCTCGATTGGCCGCGAATGCCTGGCACCATTTGATTGCTTTCGCATCCGCTTTCGTCGACAGGTTCTCGAGCTGAACTGATTCTCGCAGGCTTTGCGACCACGGCGCTTCTGCCCACCGGCGGCCCGTCTGAGCCGGCTCAGGGGGCGCCGGAATTCAAGGGGCGCCTGTGGAACGAACAGAAGTAGCAAGCAGAAGTGCTGGAGACCGCGGCGGAGTGAAAGCCTGCGCGGGCGTGGACTTCATGGGCGTGGGTTTCATGGGTGTTGCTTGTATATGCGCGCAGTGCGCTGCGGAACGAGACTCTGGGTCAGCGCCCGAGCTGCCGGCCTCGTGCAGTCTGGGAACCTTCGCTGGCGGCCTGTCGTCATCTTCGCCCGTCTCCCCCGGCTTATCAGCGGAGGCGTCTCGGGGGAACCCGCCCGACGTAGGGTCCATCAGGAACGTCACCAGACACTGCCTCCTGCCGCCGTCGTTCGTTCCTGGATGCGGCAAGTCATTATACCTCTTGTGAAGCGTGTCCGGCCACCAATTTCGCAGCTGGCGGCCGTAAACTTCAAACGCGGATTTAATGAACCTGTCCATGCCATGCTTATCGATGTACTCTTGCAACCCTGCCAGACTAATGTCGACGCTCATCTCGACCATCCGGTTCACGAGAGCGGTGCACGGAGGAGGCAATTCGGCCACTGCACATTTTGGGGGCATGCCTGTGGGCGCCTGCTGTCGTCTTTGAGCCTGCTTGAGCCGAGGTGTCTACAGTTAACCTTGCTGAGAATACTTCTGCCGCATGCACGCCAGAGGCACCTGTGCATACTGCCCAAGATATAGAATCCAGAAAATGTCAAGGCTGCTACGCTACCTGCGTACCCTCTCTGCTGTCAAGAGAACGACACGCCTGGTAGGCCCTGCGACATTGGCGCGTATAGAGACCGCGGTGAGAGACCACCCCCGTGCGCACCCCCTCCAGTTTCGAGAAAATGCCTCGCCTGCTGGGCCCTGCGACATTGACGCGTATGGCGGCCGCGGTGAGAGACCACCCCCTGCGCACCCCCTCTGGTGTCGAGATAGTGCCACGCCTGCGAGGCAGCGTTTAGGGGCCGCGGTGAGAAACCCCCTCCCTTGCGAACCCCCTCCAGTGCCGAGAAAGTGCCATGCCTGCTAAGCCCTCCGACATTGGCGCGTATGGGGACCGCGGTGAGAGACCACTCCCTGCGCACCCCCTCCGGTGTCGAGAAAGTGCCACGCCTGCTAGGCCCTGCGACATTGGCGCGTATGAGGACCACGATGAGGGACCACCCACTGCGCACCCCCTCCGGTGTCGAGAAAGTGCCACGCCTGCTAGGCCCTGCGGCATTGGCTCGTATGGAGACCGCGGTGAGAGACCACTGCCACGCCTGCTAAGCCCTGCGACAGCGCCCGCGGGGGCGGCCCGCAGGTCGCCAGCGCGGCCGTTTTGATCGCAGTGAGACCTCTAACTCCCATCCCCCTCTCCTCACAGGCGGATCCGCACTTGAAACTTCCTCAAAACCAGGCCAGTCGCTCCGCGCCGGCGTGGAAATCGGCCTGCCTGGTATTTCCGAAGAGCTGAGACGGGGCTTCGGCGGACTTGACGCTGACATGTGCAACTGTTGTCCCCCATTCTTCCCCCCCCACCTTGGGGGGGTATCTGAGGCGGCCTTGGGTCTTTGTCGGACCCTCTTGGTACCATCTGGGAGTTTTTTTCCCAACCATCCTGTGGTGTTGGGTCCTCGTTTTGAAGAGACGGTGCCCCGCGTCTCCTTCCTCCTCTCCTCCTCCGCCTCCCCTCCCCTCCTATCATCCTCATCGTCATCATCATCATCATCATCATCATCGTCATCATCATCATTATCATCAGCATTATCATCATCATCGTCATCAGCATCAACATCATGGCCGCCATCATAACCATCATCGTCATCATCACCATCATCGTCGTCATCACCATCATCGTTGTCCTCGTCGCCATCATCGCACGTTTCGTGGCCCCATACGGAGCTCCACCGAAGGTCCAAGTGGCGCAGCTCGCATGGCGCCACCGCCCCATTTTGGCACACCCCTCACACGTTTCGTGGCCCCATAGGGAGCTCCATCTACGGTCCAAGTGGCGCAGCTCGCATGGCGCCACCGCCCCATTTTGGCACACCCCTCACAGATTTCGTGGCCCCTCAGGGAGCTCCTTTTGGCACACCCCTCACACGTTTCGTGGCCCCATAGGGAGCTCCACCTAAGGTCCACGTGGCGCAGCTCGCATGGCGCCACCGCCCCTTTTTGGCACACCCCTCACACGTTTCGTGGCCCCATAGGGAGCTCCATTTACGGTCCAAGTGGCGCAGCTCGCATGGCGCCACCGCCCCATTTTGGCACACCCCTCACACGTTTCGTGGCCCCATAGGGAGCTCCATCTACGGTCCAAGTGGCGCAGCTCGCATGGCGCCACCGCCCCATTTTGGCACACCCCTCACACGTTTCGTGGCCCCTCAGGGAGCTCCTTTTGGCACACCCCTCACACGTTTCGTGGCCCCATAGGGAGCTCCACCTAAGGTCCACGTGGCGCAGCCCGCATGGCGCCACCGCCCCTTTTTGGCACACCCCTCACACGTTTCGTGGCCCCATATGGAACTCCATGTACGGTCCAAGTGGCGCAGCTCGCATGGCGCCACCGCCCCATTTTGGCACACCCCTCACATGTTTCGTGGCCCCTCAGGGAGCTCCGCCTGAGGTCCAAGTGGCGCAGCTCGCATGGCGCCACCGCCCCTTTTTGGCACACCCTCACACGTTTCGTGGCCCCTCAGGGAGCTGCACCTAAGGTCCCAGTGGTGCAGTTAGCCTTGCCCGCCCGCAATCAGCCGGCCGGCTAGCTCTCTGTGCTCCGCGCAGCGGACGACCTGCGCGCGTCGCTGGGACCCCTCCGCGGCGACCTGCGCGCGTCGCGGGGACTCCGCGCTGCTCTGCGCCCGCAGCTTTGGATTTTTGGAGCGCGCAGGCAAAGAGGGGGGAAAAGAAGGGACGGAAGCGGGTGCGATCCCCGTGAGGGGCGTGCCGACATGGGCGTCGCGGCGCGCGGGCGCTGCCGTCGGGGTTCCCGCGGAAGCTGCCTGCGGCGGCCACGCCCAGTGTCACAAGTGTTCGGACAGGCATGCTCGAGCCATTCACATTCATATACATTTACACTAGGCGTAGCCAAGATCGCATTCATGCAAATATACTCACTCCCACGCAGACCCATTCACACTCAGACTCTCTCGCGCTCTGGCTCACCCGCGTTCATTCTTTCGTAATCTGACCTATCGTATTCCTTTGCGTTGTGTACCCCGCCATATTTCGGCATGCCCCTCATGCGGTTCGTGGCCCCATAGGGAGCGCCACCGAACAAGGTACTCACAATTGCGGCACTCACAACTGCATATGTTTGGGTCTTTCGCCAGGATAATTTTTGTTTCAGTGAGCGTCAGATCCACGACCATCACAGAACTCCAATGCAGCCACGACTGGTCGAAAATCTAAAGGGGATTGCCGAAGCAAATCCTGGCCTTGGCATCGAAGTCCGATGCGGGAAAACTTGAACATGCCAAGATACCGTACGCCGCCCGGTGCAACTCAATGGATATAGTTCTCAGAGTTTGCAGCTGCAGAGAACTGAGGCATTCATCTGGTGAAGATTTTGCTCTGACGTTTAGCTCCATCACTTTGGCCTTCCTAGACGTCGCGCACGTGTTCGTAGCATTGAAGTCATCGCAGACAATATGGGTCATCATATCGGGGCCCATCACGTGCACCTTCACATCAGAAAAATGAGCGGCGTAGCGACTATGTAGAGAAATCGTGAACGAGTAGTTGTACGCGTAGTACTCCATCTGTGAAACGCTTAGCCAATCTGCGAAGGCCAATTCAACCTGCCCGCGAGCCTTGAGATGCCGATACCAGCTTGCGATCCAATCGTAAAATGGTCGGTAAACCATCACGATGGTGGTACTGATGTGGCTTAAGTCAAACGCGAGCTGTGCGACACTGGTGTCATTGATCTGGCCGAAAAGCTCACTAGACATCACTACCTTTTTTGAAGTTCCTTTGAGCTGGTCAAGATAGTGCAGTCAATCGGAACAAATATTTTTTCTGTGGTCCCTGTACGTGGACCGGGACGACAAATTCTCCCGCTCGCGCGCTAGCGAGCTGTCTCCGTGCGCGGCCGCGGCGTGCGCGCGCGGGGCGGCCCAAAATGGGCAGGCCCGCCCCGCGCGCTCAAGCCGGGGCGCCGCGCGTCAGACGGTGGAGTCCGTCTGGTCGCCGATGTCGGCGAGGCAGCGCCCGTCAGCCTTAGAATGGGAGAGGAGGGAGGGGGGCAGAGAAGCTGCGGAGACAGCAGGAGCTTGCTCACAGAGAATAGAAGAAGCATTCTCCCGCTCGCGCGCTAGCGAGCTGTCTCCGTGCGCGGCCGCGGCGTGCGCGCGCGGGGCGGCCCAAAATGGGCAGGCCCGTCCCGCGCGCTCAAGCCGGGGCGCCGCGCGTCAGACGGTGGAGTCCGTCTGGTCGCCGATGTCGGCGAGGCAGCCATACCCGTGCTCAAGGACCTTGCGAAGTGACAAGGTTTTGGCGGGCGGCCGCAAGCAGGGCAGGCCAAGCGGCGGGGCCGACTTGGAGGAAAGAAGCGACGAGGCGGTCGCTGGCGGTGGCGAAGAACAAGATACGAGCCCGCGCGTGCTCGGGCAGCGCAGCAAGAACTGTAGAGGCGGCGGCGGCTTGCAGGTAGCGCTCGGCACTGGAAGCCTGACGCCAACGCCCACGCCAGAAGACGCGAGGGACGTCTTCCGTAGCGATATAGAAGTCTGTTGCGCCAGAGCCCCGCAGACAAGCGGGCGTCAGGTTGAGCCCCTGACCTGCTTTGGCAAGAGGGACGCCCAGAGCCAAAAGCAGATGATTCCACCGAGTACGGAAGCCGCTCGCACCGAAGGGGGCGAGAGGATCGGTGGAAGCCAACCTTCCAAACACTTGACTCAATATCTTCACCGTGCCCCGATCGGAGCAGCGAGCATGTTGCGTCGGGTACGTTCTTCTGGTCTTTGGAACAAGAATTGAAAGAAAAGCATCCCCTTCGACTTCGAGACGGTCGCATGGAAGCGACAGGTCACAGCGGCGTGACGCCAGCAGTTCGCCAGGCCTGAGGAACATCGTGAAGCCCATGAGCAGCAGCGCCGCCATCACAGGCCAGTCCCAGGCGAGACAGAGCCCGACCATGGCGCGCAGCAGCGCGCGTGGCAAGGGGGGACGGAGCTTTGGCGGCTCCGCAAGCTTCCATTGTTTCGCTACGTCCCAAGCTTCTGTCAGAAAGGCCTTCCAATGCGGATGGGCGCTTTGGATTCCCAAGATGGCATGGACCAAAATATAATGAGGGAAACCTGCATCATGAAGCCACACGCCGAAGGTCGCGAGGAAACGGGCGAGAAGTATCCCGCTTCGGTAAAGTGTGGCGGGTGGCACGCCAGTGTGTTCTGCTAACCACAGCTCGAAGGCATCAATCGATCTCGAGCGACGGTCGAGATACGCGGAGGTGAGGTGAGAATCGCGCACAAAGGGAGTGCGCGGAGGGCGAGCGGGCGCGGACGGCGCAGCCCGACTAAGCCCTTGGCCTGCGGTCGGCGCCGCGGCTCCCAGAGAGATGCAGAGGCCGCAGACGCACCACAGGATGAGCGCAGGGCGGCCAGGGCTTGGAGAGCTGATCACCGTGGCGGCCCTTCTGCGCCTGGACGCGTAGAAGGGCGGAACGAGGGCGTCCCGCCCGTCGGTCTCGAACCCCGACGCCTCCGCCAGCATCGCCCGCGCCGAGCTGAAGGACCCGCCCATGTTACGGTAGGCACGGCGAGCCCCTGCTTCGATCTCGGCTGGCAGAGCGTCCCCTCTCTCGAGGGTCGGCCAGTCAAAAGGCGGGCGCGGCTCGGCACGCGCAGCTGCGGCTGCTTCGGCAAGCTCGGAACGAGCTGCCGAGGACGTGAGGCCCGAATGATGTGGCACGGGCACCACCTCCGCGAAGGCGTCGAGGATCTCGGACGGAGGGGAATGGGATCCCCACAGCGCTGCTGGGATGGCGCCGTGACTGTCCTGCACGTGGTACAGAAGGTCGAAAAGGCAGGCCAGTTTGCCCGCGCGCCGCCGCTGCTCGATCTTTGAGCCGAGACCGATGCCACGGATGGCGCCCGCCCCCATGGCCTGGAGGTCAGCATCCGCGGGGATCGCCTCGGGCTCGACGATGGCCACGTAAGGATGCAGCCACGAGGCCTCGTCAAGCGGCTCGGCGCCGCCTGTCTGAAACAGGCGCTTGTAGGCGTGCAAGGCTCGCAGGAGGCAGTGCAGGTCATCCTTGCCCTCAAGCTCGGCGGCCCCTGCGGGTGCAAAAGTCCTCAGCCACGACGCCGCGCTCTGGAAGGCACCTTGCCAGGCGGGTCCCCACCTCACCACTGTGATCTTCTCACCGCCTAGGTTGAGGCGCCACGCTAGGGCGCTGGCGGCCCCTGGAGGCAAGGGCTGCTCAGCGGCCGCCGAGGCCGTGCGCCGCGCTGCGAAGGCTGCAGCCGCGGCGCTTCCAGCGTCACCGCTGTGAGAGCCGCTGAGAGGCAGCTCGGGCTCAGAAGCTCGACCAAGCGCGAAGCCGCTCGAAGACCCCCCTTTCTCGGCGGCACGCCCTCCTCCCTGCGGGGCCGCAACAGCATCGCTGGAAGAGCGCATGCCTACCGAAGTCGGAGGGGCCTGAGCAGCGGAGTCCGCGCGGGAGCTGGCTGGCCGCTGCGAAGTGGCGGGGCTCGGGCGACGCTTCGGAGCGACTCGAGGGGAGCGCACCACGCGACGCCCAGGCGACGCACGGGAACGCGACGCCGCACGCCCACCAGAGTGGTGACGGGGTGGCGATGGCGGCGGGGGGACGGGCCGCGGCGTCTCGGAGCCAGCACGCGTGCCGCGGCCCCGAGAGCGGCTGCGAGCCGCAGCGTGAGCGGCGGGCGGGGAGGCCTCCGCGCGGCGAGGGAAGGCCGCCTGCAAGCGGCGGAGGGCCTCAGGGTTAAGGCCCGCCACGACGCGCTCGAGGTCCACCGAGGAGTCAGTGAGGGCACTCAAAACGACGTCCTCGAGCTCCGTCGGTGAGTCCTCCTCGCACGCGGGCTCCGCTCTCGAGCGGCTGCGGGCGCTCGCTGGAGGAGACCCCTCAGGAGTGTGCGGGCCTTCCGATGCCTCCCCCGCCGGCGGCCCCGACGGCTCCTCAGGCGCGCTCGAGACGTCGATGGGAGGCGAGGAGCAGCCTCCCGAGGGGGAAGTGTGATCAGTCCCGTACGGGTTCGGAGACCGCGTACGGCTGCGGGCAGGGCTGCGGCTCCGCGGTGGAGGGCCCACTCCCGCGGCGGAGCTGGGGCGTGCCGCGCCTGCCCAGCGACGCGCATTAGCAGTGCGACGCGCCCTGCGGCCCGGCGTCGTGGCGGCTCCCTCTTCAGGGGCGGGTAGCGCCGCCGTCGAAGCTCGCCGCTGCTTCTTGGCGCGCTTGTTGCGCGCGGCGCCCGTGCGCGAGGCGGAGTGTGGCGCGTGATCACCGCGATTGGGCTGGTCCTCGACAGCCTCGTCCCGCGGGCCCAGGCGGGCGCGGACCGCGCGCCCCTCGCGACGGCTGAAGCTGGACGCTGGGTCGTCGGCAGGCCTCGCCAAGGTGCGCGGGTCCTCAGCTTCCACCTCGGCCAGAGAGCGCCCAGTAGACGACGCGGGGGCGTCCCCAGCACGAGCGGCGCGATCCGCGTTGGCGAGGCCCGTCGAGACCTCAGCGTTGTGCAGGACGGCGCGCAGAGTTTTGCGCCAATCCCGACCCAGCTGGACGGGAGCCGTACGCGGCAAGCCCGCGGCCTCACGGCTGGCGGCCTCGCGCAAGCGACGGAAGTAGGCGCGGTCGGCCATCCCTTCCGCGAGCTCAGCACGAGCGACGGCACGCTCGCCTTCGCCGCGTGCTGGAGCCTGCACCGTGCGCCTGGTGGCGTCGGCACGCGCGGTGCGGAGTGCGTCGAGCTCCACGCGGCCGCGCGACACGGCGGAGGCGAGGATGGCATCAGACTCAGCCGCCCGCGTCGCGAGGGCAGACGAAACCCTGCTTGGGAGAGGCGCACCCGAGGCGGGGAGGGCAGCCCGAGGGGCCAGCTCGGCACTCGCCAGGGCGACCCGCGAAGAGACCGCTTCCTCGAGCGCCTGAAGGGCCATGGCCGACCCAGGAGCCAGCTTGCCCTTGCGGGCGCCCTTCCCTGCCGCTTTTGCCTGGGCGAAGGCGCGAGCGGCAGGACCGTCACCGCCCGTGCTAGGAGCGGCGGGCGGCGCGGCGGCCTGCGAGAGGGCCTGGAGCAGCACTGACTTGGCGTCGCAGAGCTGCTTCCACTTGAGCGCGCGGGCTGCTCGCTCGTCGGCCCCCAAGTGTGCAGGAGTCCTGTCTGGATGGTAGACCAGGGACTGGCGCCTGAAGGCGGCCTCAATGGTGCTGCGCGAGGCCCCGTCCACGACGCCAAGCAGCTGGCGAGAGGCGCTCACCCTGGCCGCTCGCTGGAAGACGCGGGGGGTAGCAGCCGTGGCCCCCTTTGGCGCTTCCCGCGAGCCGACACGCGACGAGCCCCCCCCGATCGCAGGCGGAGGGGCCGCCGCGGCCTTGGAGCGGAGGGCCAGGGGCGGCGCACGCTTGGCGGCGGGGGGAGCCGAACCAGCGCTGGCGGCGACAGGGTCGGGGCCGTGCGAGCCGCCCGCCGAGGACGCAGACGCTTTGGGCGTGGCGTCTGCTGTGGATGTGAGACGCCGATCGCAGTCAGCGAAGAGCGCGTTGCGAGGCCCGCGACGCTCTCCGCTGGCGAGAGCAGCTTCGCTGATGCTCTCGGCGGCGCCCGAGGGG